GTATAGTTACGAGCCTGTGTCCTTGTGTTTTGTCCCGTGTGTCAAAGTTCATCATAATAGAAAACCTAAAAAGACGGACGAGAGGAAAATTCCAAAGTCTGTCTCAGCCACATGTCAAGTGGGGACGCAAATCAACAAAATAACCAAATATAGACACTTTTTGGGCTCGTATGAGAAGCCATGAAAAAATGCAAAAACTTTCCGGTTCTATGGATCCGATCCTGTGACCTCTCCCGTATGAGTCTAGGGAGATATCCATTAGGCCACTTTGCCAACTGTGTGAGAAGCTCTCTGGCTCTTCTTATGCGAACCATGTAGGACAGGGGAATGTAGAGGATGCCACAGTGAAAAAGCCATAGTGAGAAGATCCCCTCGTAACTTCTTTCAGAGAATCGTTCCGCAGATAACGAAAACGGATTTGAGTTCAGCGTCGCAAGACGCGTATCATTGGACTATTATCATAAATGGCCGGAAGACTGACCAGTGGAAGTCCTCGAATTAGCTTAATGACTTTTCTTCGACCTTCATTACTTATAATGAAATCCTTTCAAAGGCTTACTGACTGCTGATCAGAAAATACGAAAAATATTGCAACCCACACAACGGCGGTCGTCAATGGGTTGAGAAAAGATCACGATCGCCATAAAAAGTTTAGTGAAAAAGTCCTAAGAAAATTCTTGATAATTTTTCACGAAGACGCTGAGTCATTTTCAAAGTATTCAAGCTAAAAAAGAACTCGCCAGAGCTTATGATCTGAGATAAAAATACCAGTAGTTTGGCTTTCCAGCGTGGGATAGTCATTACTAAGACTATATCAAGCTAGAACCCTAAGTGTTCCCAACTTTCACTGTCCCGAACACGACAGTTCTCGAGAATATGAATAGGTGTAGGTCGTATCCGTTCCGTTGTGCGGGTCGAAGAAAACAGATTTAGTATCTTTACACTCTCGGTAACGAGGTTAGTGAGATAAACTGAAGGCTGAAACTAAGTGAGATTCGATTAGCCAGGATTGAACGCGATTCAGAGGGTTACAAGGACATGTAGCGTGACGCGATCATCATATTTGACCCTTAAAGGAGTTACGATGGAAGGGCAGCCCAATGAAAATCGAGGTGATCGGTCGTGCAGGATGAGGAAAAGCCACAAAAACGACCCAGAATCTGAAAAATGGAACTCTCTCTTTCCCAGTTGATTTCCGCATCGATGCGACTATCATCGGTGCTGACCTCTTCAACGTTAATGCTCTCTCCGTTAAACGGCTACAGTCAGACGGAAGAGGGTGGGGATGCCACAGCGCTCGCTTCGCGGGTATGACCCTATTAGATCGGTAGGGGCATAAGGGGCATACTTTTCACTAGTATGAAGGGTCAAAGGGTATGGTAAGGTAAGATTGGGATTGAAAGCATCAGGTCGCTGATCCAGCACCAAAAACTCGTTCTCTGCACCAAACATCTTTTATCAATCATAACACGAGGGTCCGACTTGACGAGCTCGTTAGCGTTGTTGTTGCGTGTGGCGCACGTGTTTGTTTTTGAATCATATCAGATGCTGTTATTTATGGATCATATAAATATAGAACAATTTTGAATGAGTCATTCTGCAGATGTCGCAATCCTATTTAATAGCTATTATTAATATCCTTTTTGAAACCCTTGAGGAGGTTGGTGTATAACAAACTTTAGTGGGCTAACTTTTGGGCGGGACCTTATTTTTCAGAGTCGTAAACTCAGTTCTGTCTTTGAAACGCGCTGAAAGTCAATTGCTAGATTATAAGCAATTGGACTGTTCTTAATTCCCAGGGTTCGTTCAAATCCGTGCATGGCGGATTTAATGGCTATGGATCAAGAGACCATGGTGAGAAGGGAGCACACGTGCTCTTCCATATTCCATGTCTTTTTGTAATTTGAACGGAGATCGGTCTGAGATTGACGTCGGCTCATGCTTTTTCTTAGTATGAACTGGGCACAGCGAGTGCTAATTTTGCATCTATATCGAAATAACCGGGATTGACAGGAGATTATGAAGGTATCATTTGGATTTTTGAATTGGATACACCGGCGCTTGGAATTCCAAGAAATCGAAAAATAATTCAACATTGGGGCTCAAGCAGCTCACCCGGTTGTCAGAACTTCTCCACTACTTACCTGTGAGAAATGCAAGCAGCGCAGCAATAACAAGTAGTCGAAGCAATCGTAGCATGGCAATGTTGTTGAAGTCAGTGTAATCGTGGCCTTTTCAAGCGATGGCGTTGCTATTTCGGTAAGGGCGGATGTGGCGGCGACGTCAGGCGACCACTGCGATCACGATCGTTTCGAGAGCGAAATAGACTGTATCGCCCACCCACTGAACGGAACGTCAACCTGACCAAGGTTCATCACCCCGGTGAACTCAAATCGAAGATTGCGAGATGGTTCATGTAGTGAAACTGGTCAAGTTCAAAGATAAGGGATCATGTTATCTATGGGCATATTTTCAACCTATAGTTTTCAAAAAAATAGGTCGTTAAGTGTTTCAACAAAAGTCTATTTCATGCTGAATATTTTGTCCATTTGTACTTCAGTGGCATCTTATTTCGTGCGATCCTATCGAGGAAACGGCCTGTGTTACTACTAGTTCTTCTGCTCTCTGAATTAAAGACCTTTCCTGGGAGGAGGGTTTATGAACGGTGTTAATTCCGCGAGGCAATGAGCGATCGTCCGAACGGAAGCAGTTCCGTAGATGGCAGCGGTGATTTCATCAGCGCACTTAGGCGGAGGGTTTAGTAATAACTTAGAAAAATAAGTTCAGAAATGCAAGCGGTAAGCAGTGATGGCCCGTAAAACGTCTAATTCTACGTGCTAAGCACAATTTGAGAGTTTATTTTTATATTTGGGACAGATTACTTCAAACTAAATCGAACTAAAGCTTTCCCCTGGTGTTTACTGCTCTTAAAACATCACAGTAGAAGCACGTAGCATGGTTGTACTTGTAGAGCCTGCTAGTTCTTTTTTCGGTCTTTTACTCCATAATCGACGGGATTTCTAATGTAATAATATATGAAAACTGTAGCGATCGATACGGTGTTAGACTCGATTTGATGATATATCATCGATACTTGCACCCTGGTCCCGATATCAAACCGAGTGCCCGAATCTTGCCAAACCCAGCAATCGGCTGAGTGCTTAAAGGCAAAAGTCGGGCTCAATAAGGGGGTATTATGGCGATTGAAACTGAGTATAGAGATGCGAAGTGGAACGACAGTGGAGAAAAAACTGAGAAAAACCGTCGACAAGGCCGTTAACAAAACCCTCTTTCCCACTAGCAGTGAAGGAGGCTGGCTTGGGGAACAAACAAGTTTTCTGGAGATGTCAGTCGTTCTATCGGTTGATACGGCAATCAACCTAGCTGATTTCACACGTTATGCCAGCCACGCACCACCTTCGGAGGTGGGCGATCCTGGATTGACCAGGTGGCCCTGGATTGAACCGAACTCCCCGGACCTTAACGGGTTTTTCAAGGTGGGGCTGCAATGTGTGCAGCTACCCACATACAACCCCCAGGCAAGGGAATACGTTCTCCAGGTGCCTGCACCGACTGTGCCGTTTAATAAGGCGGCTAGTTATGTAAAGCCGTTCGATGACCTTACGATTCAGAGGCGTGAGTAGCTATTGATAAAGTGATCCCTGAGAAAAATAAAAGGGTAAGTAATGTCTTGTGGCAGTGAAGAAAGAAACCCGAAAGAGCTCCACAATGGGATCTCTTTTGTGTTTGCGATTTGGACCTAGTTTACAGCCTTAACGTTGCGATCAGTAACTGGAGCCGGATCAGTTCGGAGCAGTTCAACTGACAGATTTGGAGCTTTGTTGCTGATAGGACACTTTCACCGCCGATACACCAAATCTTGCTTCCTTCGCCTTCAGTCTTGGCAGCCTTCATACTGGCCGGCTATTCTTTCCCTATTGCACTGCTCAACTCATGTGCCGATTGCTTGCAGGAGACTGATCTTGTACTTTTGGTCCGCACGCGTCGGCGAAGATACGTTTCAATACCGGACTCCTCAAATCAGGTCAACCCAGAGTTGGTAGCTTAAACAAATTCGCACGACCCGCGGTTCGCTATGCCCCATCATCGCCGTCAGCCAATTACGGATCGCCCCGATACGAGCCCTCCCTAACCTGCCCGTCGCCCACAACCCCCTCCCCCGTCATCACTCTTTCTATAACGTAGACTCCTCACTTCCTGTGAAGTGCGGCGAGCCGGTAGGTTAAGTGGGGGGGGGTATATCTTTAACTGAAGCGTCAATGTCTAATTTTGTCCATTTTATGCCTCTGACCGAGTGTTTCAGTTCTGCATTATCAAACCCACCCGGAACGGAAAAAGACCCTCTCTCCACAATCACGAATCCTCGCCCTCCACAGACCCCCTCTCAGCATTTAGACATCGCAAACCCCAGATATGACCCCCCGCCGTTAGTACTTGTACCAAAGGATGGTGACCCTGCTCTCAATAGATGCTGAAAGTGATGGGAAAAGAAGGGCAGATGAGAGTTCGGTAATTGTAAAGCTGTTTGTACTTATATCAACAGATATCATTATCAGTTTCTATCAACGCTATAAAAGCCTCTCCTAGATCCAGTGTATCCCATTTTTGTTCTTACAACTTGGTAGCTGCTGGGAGTAACACTCCCTAAAGAAGTTACTGCTCTCTCTCGTAAAATCGATTGGAGCTCCAAATGGCACAAGAAGATGTGAACCTGAACACGGCACGAGCTCCTGTTCAAGGCGCTAAGAAAGGAAGCGATCCAAGAGTGTACGTCCTGCTTGGATGCCACTGATGTGCTGATGGCTTTTTCTGTACTTTCAGGGCTCGATTCACGGCTTCCGTGCTGCTAGTCACATCCATGGGTTTGATGCAGTTGATTGGCCAACGAATGGCTATCGGAGGACCCGTACTCATCGCCCAGCTTATGTTCATCATAATCTGTGCTTTTATTCATGAGGTAGGGTTGAGGCGCGAGTATGCGGATTCATCTTTTGCTAGAATGGACATCTGACAGAATAACTCACTAGCGGTCATGGTCATTTTCGCTGAATCACGTTGCTTGGCCCTAGATTGCAATCGAAGACAGCGGCTGGCCAGAATCATTCTCAGCACTGCAGTATCCCCAATGGCGAGCTTCCCTTTCTCCCTTTAAGGGAGAGTGATTCACCAATGGGAGGACGCAAACTGACCCACTTCTGACTCCCTTCATACGCTCACAATCGGGGTAGACGGTGCCTCTAACCCTGGGCGAAAGCGCACGCTTTGGCCTTTTTGGCCACGTGGGACTAATGAGCAATTTGTTGCCGGCGATCTCTGTGACGCGCAACCGCGTCCCGGTGTCCTATAAACGTGCATTTTTGGAACTCAGCTCTGACTGCAAAGAGACAATAGTACAATGGGGCTGGGAGGGAATCAGATGGCGAGCACCGTGGCGACGCATGTTTCCACCTTCTAGCGAGGTAGTGTAGTGCAGAATGCAAACTCGCGAGTCAAGAGAATAAAGTCAAGTCACCCTGTTCAATGGAACGTAGGCCCGGTGATGCGCGGGAGACTGAGATTTGCGCGCGTTTCGAGTTTGAATAAAGAAGAACGGCTGATTTTCAGTGGAATCTTCTACATGGAGAAGGATTGACGAGACATCGTCGAGCTTACTTTGATGTTTCCAACGTCCTTGAAACCTATCAGACACGTGCACGAACGCATGGACATCTTTTCCAGGTGAACTACTACTATGAACTGATAAAGATGTCTGCTACGGTATCATAATAGTAAGATGACCTAGCATTGAGGAAAGCTGGCTTATGGAGCGTTCAGACTTGGCGATCGCACGTGCGATTAGGCGGTTAGGCAATCAGGCGATCGCTCGATAGGCGGAGCGCAAAACAAATACACACCTCTCTTACGCCTACTCGCTTACATCGCCTACTCCCTCAATCGCCATCATACGTAATACTTGTCTTTTTGATCATCGACCTAATCGCCTAATGCAAGTACGATTGCCAACTATGAACCCATTTAGGACTTCAATGTTCAATGCTTACGCGCGCTTAGATTAAGGATTGGAAAGGTCACAATGATACATGCTGCCTTTGAACCTGATAGGTAGTTTTTTTAGACCGCTCACAAATTTAGCTGTTCCCGCAGCGAAGTATCCATCGGACCGCTATTCGGCGAGATTTTCTAGCGCCGCTGAGGGTTATGGTTGAGTGACACCAATGCTTTTCCACCCAATTGATCTCCGCGAATAACGTTCCTGCCCAGCCATAGCAACTCGCGCCTCTAAGCGGTTGACTTGCCTTCCCAACCACAAAGGATCGAGGGCCTCTAATGCTCAATACTGTATGAATAAAGCTGCGCTAAGAACTTATGAAAAACTACAGTAACACTACGCGTGAGGAATCCACATCAATAACCAATGGGGGGGAACGTTGAAGTGCAGTCACTTTAAGTCAGAGCTCGGGACTAAGCCTTAAGAAAAGAAGGGGTTAGGGTGGACTTATTAACACCTAACAGCAGTTTTTAAATGTCATCTTTTGAATGTCCCCCCTATGGACATGAGCACCTACAAATTTGTACGTAGTAAACTTCATTATTAGTCAGGAAGTTGCTTCGAAATTAGTTTCGAAAGCTTTTAGCCTGATCCACCAACGCCGATGGTGACATTCCTGCCAGACGGAACAGCTGTTGGTGGTGTTCATGAAGCTCCAGCCGAGAAAACCGAGTTCATGCAAAAACGAGATGAGGTGACAAAACGTTCCTTGCGCCGCGTTCATACTCAGCGATTCGGGAACATCGGAGAATGAGCGACAAGGATTGAATACGTATGGATGGTTGCCTAGATAGTTTGTACGCACTGAAAATGTGATAGTCATTTTAAACAACATATTCTCCTTTCCGCGGATTCCCCGATTCTCCCGAAATGCCAGGTGAGTATCGGTCGTGCGTGTTCATTAATCGGAAGCACAATGCTTTAGCACTATGCCAATATGTTCCAATTCGCCATGCAGATGAATAAGGAATTGGATATGATGGAAAAGGTCTGTTCGGGTGTCTTATGAGTTTTACAGTACTCTTTAGGACGTATATTGGTAATATTGGCGAAAAAATAGTCCACAACCATTTTAAGGATAATCTGGCTAAAAAAGACGAATCCGCTGCCGCACCACCGGCTGCTCCACCGCCTTCGTTGGAAATCACCAAGAAATCGCCTGCGGTAGAAGGGACCAAAAAATCGCCTTCAGCAGCTCAAGAAGGTAGCCAAAAATCCGGCAAGAAAAAGAAGGGTAGTGAAAGATCTGGAAAGAAGAAAGAAGGGCAGTGAAAAATCCGGGAAGAAAAAGAAGGGCAGTCATAAATCTGGGAAGAAAAAGAAAGGCAGCAAGAGCTCTTCATCAGAGCAGCAAGGCAGTCAGGAAACGGGAGGCAGTAAGGAGAAGAAAAGCAGTCGGGAGAGTCAAGGCAGTAAGGAGAAGCAAAGCAGTCGCGAGAGTCAAGGCAGCAAGGAGAAGCAAAGCAGTCGCGAGAGTCAAGGCAGCAAAGGAGAAGCGAAAGCAGTAGGGAGAGTCAAGGCAGCAAGGAGAAGAAAAGCAGTCGAGAAAGTCAAGGCAGTCAGGAGAATCAGGGCAGTAAACGAAGCAGTCGAGAAAAGCAAGGCAGTAAGCGAAGCAATCGAGAAAAGAAAGGCAGTAAGCGAAGCAAACGAGAAAAGAAAGGCAGTAAGCGAAGTAATCGAGAGAAGCAAAGCAGCAAGGAGAAACAAAGTAGCAAGAGGTCATCGAGAAAGGATTTCATGAAACTGTGATATTTGGCAGTGCTCTAATCAGCCATTTCTTCTACTTTTCACCTCAGATTGTAGTGGCATTACTTACAGTTCCGTGATTTCAAAAATTCCGAGTTCACGGAATAAATCTTTCTCACTGTTGTCGCCGTGGCCTGATCTGAGTAAGGAGGGTAAGAAGATAAGTGGCTGCGACGAGTTAATGTGAAGGAAGGGCGGAAGGGGGAGGGGGAGGGGGGGGGGGGTTGCAGGGTCAATCGTACGCTCGCACTATTCGAGCGATCGAGCGAGGGAGTCGCATTTGTGATTTCGGGAAGGGGGCTACATTTCGGGATTGAGCGAGGTTAGCATAGTGGGAAGGTTGCTAGTTTGTTGAAGGGGGTTGGAAGCAGGGTCAACCCTACGTTGTTACTAGTAACAACGGGGGGGGGGTCGTACCTGGTTGAGTTTATAGGAGGGGGGGGGTCGTATCCGCTTCAGTCGCGTGAAAGTACATGTGAGTTTGTGGTGAAAGTGGAGTTTTCACGAGTAGTAGGCTAGGTGAGTTGGGAGCGCATGGGAGAGAAAATTCGCCGTTTCGTATATACCCCCCCCCCTAGAAAATAAAGCAGTGGGATTATAGGTGGAAGTGGGGTAAATTGGTTGAAATTTAGGGAATTTGGTCATTTTTTTTGGGTATGATACCCTCCCGTCGACGGCATTTTGGAGGGCAAGCGGCGGAGCTTTGGTGGGTTGGTGGTACCGGAAATTTATTTACTAAATAGGAATTATTTGGATGTCGAGGGCTGTAGATGAGGGGGTGTCTTACAAGTTTCACTTTTGGGGGAAGGGGGGGGGGGGCGTGAATCTTTAAAAGTACGATAGGAACTGACCTGGTTTGGACGGTACATTATAAGACCACACAAGCTTTACCTGCGCCTTACCCTCACCCGCGTCGATTGTTAAGTGAAGGAAAGTATTGGGTCGGGCATGTATGGTCTATTTGGTTTTATCTCTATGGGTCTATTGGTTGTTCGAATTTCAGCATGATCCTAATCTCTACAAAAGCAAGTCCGCGGATGATGAGGGTGGGTTGGTTGGAGAAGAGGTCCGATATTGGCTACCAACTCCTACCATAAACACCCTGGGAACCTTGTAGGACTAAATGGTTGGTGGTGAGGGCGCGCTCGAGGGCTCTAAAGGTAGAGGGATTTCGTGATCGTAATATTTTCTGAAGAATGCGAGACTGACGGTTGACCATAGCCGTTGACTTTGATTATTAACCCGCGAGTTTTAGGTGCCAGCCTTTTTTCGTATCTTTCGCCATTTCAACGGTATGTTAAGGACAATACACATGGTACGCTCAGGGCCAAAGCAATAGATTACAAGGGCCCCTAGCAAGCTCAACACAGAGCTTATGCTATCATGCATGCGATTTTCCTTCGGTTTGGGCAATGTAAAAGTGTGGACTGTGGCTCCGAAAGACTGCAGTCATCTAGCGATAGGTGACAATACATACGCATTGATTGCGCTCTTTCACGATGCTTCTTTGCTCAAGATTTCCAAGCCGATATCCCATGCCAATGAATCAAGGCAAATTCCGCTCTTGAGACCGTGTGAATGTCGTCGTCCGAAAAGCGAAGTGATTTTGTTCAAAATGACGACAATGAAAGAAAGAAAAAAACCTGCCAAGAACCAGTAAAGTAACATCGCTCTGGTTCATACGCGTGCGGCTTTTGCGTCCCTGACGTCTCAGGGTTTGGTTTTCCCCGGTTTCTCATTTTGATCGTTAGACCGGATAGGGGCACGACAGAGTAGTTCTAACAACCTAATGAGGCCCACGGGGATGGAGCGTGCTCGCTCTAAGGGCACCCGATGGGATCTAGAATTTACTAGCGGTTTTCCTTTCTTTCATTATGATGGTCCGATAATGACATGTTACTTCTTGTAGTTAATTTTAGTTTTTGCTTGTTAGTTTTAATTCTTTGTAACGGCTTCCAGGAGGCTTTTGTGTTCGCGGCGCGTGTAGCGGTAAGAAAATGTTGGGAATGATCATGTAATGCCGGTGTAATCAGCTTCGATTTACTTTACGGCTCGGGTGATCGTGGCGGGTTTAAGAGCTTTTGCTGCAATTCTCGCAGGTTACAGGTGTGCTGTTTTGTTTTACAAGCGCCACGGTCTTACTTGCTTTTGGAACCATCTGTTTTATTAATTACCCTTTGTCCAGGAATCGGACAGTGGCATTGAAAATCCAGAAATTAGACGACCCTTCCCAGTTTAGGGGACTTCGATACGCCCTTACTCCCAACATCTCCTTCGAAGCATTCAGTGCGCTGTTTTAGTTTTGGATGTGGAACATTTGAGACAGTTCAGCCGGCTCTGTGTCAGCGAAATCTCTGTTTATTTTTCCTTTCAGAAAGGAGTTCGAGGGGTGTGGGGAAAGAGTTGAAATGTCTTGTGTAGCGCAAATGCTCAAAACTAATTTCTCTATTTTGCTCTTCTTTTCAGTGAATGTTATTGCAGTCGTACAAAAACCAGCCTATCCCTATAACCTACTAACGGAGACCACGATCACTTGAGCATTAAAATAAAACGATCTCCCTCCTCTGCTTTTTCTCCAAAAACCCAAGTGCGACCCCTCCCTTGAGAAAAACTAAGTGCGACCCACTTTTTGAGAAGATGCGCAACGCCGGTTGACCTGCAGTTGCTCCAGTAGGCGACGATAGAAATTAGGACGGATTAGACGAACATATTGCGGGGCTGGATTTGCTTTTGTTTTTCCACATACATTATCCAAATTCAATCATGGAAGCACATTAATACATCGAGGAAAAATACGCGGTAATTCCATTGTTGAATTTGCACCTCAAAATTTGATCGCTTTTAGTGGTGTCAGTGAATCGCCATTTTCTTCCGTTCCGCTTCGTTGAAGGCTTGTACTACCGGATTATTTTTCTGAAAAAGTAGGACTTAAAGGCAGTGAACACGGTGGCTCGAAGGCGGAGGGGTTTTGAAGAAGTCAAAGAGCGTCGTTCGATGGAAGGAACTTAAGGATGTTCCAAGCCCAATTGAGGCGAGGTATGGATTGAGTCAATGACGGGCTTCAAACGCTTTACTTAGCCGTTCCACCTTTCGTATTCACTGGCTTTTGAAGTCAATTTAATTATAAAGCCTCGGGCGGAAGTGGTGCTGGGTGCGAGTGACAAGGCGCGCGCTCACCGCGAGCGGTCCGGGATCAAATCCTGGGTCGTGAGTCGCCCGGGCCAACCAAGCCTTCCATCCCTCCGGGGTCGGTTAATTGGTACCAGACTTGTCTGGGAGGATAAAAACACTGACTTGAACATCGGCTGGCCCCGCAAGTCATTGTATAGGCCACATCGCATTCAAACGCCACTACGAATGTACAAATGGAAGTAGAATGCGTGCCGCATCCCAAAAGGGATTGATCAACGGCAAATGCTTTATTTTATCCTTATCCTTATATAAGCTATGCTGCTTGAAAGTTACGATCTGCTCTATGGAGTCACTCATATTAGTGGGCTGGATAAGGTGACCACTTCGGATCCTGCTCTTATGTTAGAAGCACAAGCCTGCGTCGCACGGTTACGGACAAGAAAGCCCGTCGGCGAGAAGGCAGGTCCGACGAGTTGCAGCGCGTACTGTAGTGATTTGGCGTCAAGCTGAATAGAATGTACCATTGCACGTCCTACATCGCACAGCACGCGCTGCGACTCGCCCGCTGACTCTGCCGTCTTGCCGCGCGGCGAGCATCCTGTCGGAACCGCGACGGAGGGTGCGTGCCGATGTGGGTCTTCCACATGTGAGCGTGTGACGTGAAACAGAATCGTCTGGAAGCCCACACATGGTGCGACGTTGCAGGCTCAGTGGTGCGAGTTCTGTGTTCGTCGTTCAAATTTAAATTTTGCAGGCGGTTGTTGTCGTTCAATTCAACTTTGATCGATGAGAGGGGATTAGTTCCATTCCTCCAGATTTTAGTATTGCGTATGACGTTTTGGAATCTTCGGAACATTTCGTTCACGCCACAGCCCATTTCTTTATGAAGAGCCGGAAGCAATTTATGTTAGGAATCGATATTTTCCGCGTCCCACAGTTATTTGTGGACTGCTAAGAATTTCACTGCCTTCAGCCGTGGGCGAATTAAAGAATCCCCGCGACCAACCGGGAAGGCTGCGTAATCGCGGACGCGGCAAGCGGCTGCACGGAGGCGCGGAACCGTACAATTCTTGCTTGGATTCGCCCCTCCTTTAAGGGAATGAGAGTTTGTCCACGCTGGATGATTGGTTTTTCCAGTGATTCACTTTCCCTTCCTTGCCATTCTACCCGCGTTTCAGATCGTTGAATGGGTTCGGCAAGCCAACTCAACCCTTAACAATTCGTGATCTCTACCCTTACAATTGATCTGTACTTTCTCCGTATAATAAGCCTTTCTGAGATTTGTTATCATAGTGAAAAAAGGCCACTTTCGGCAGTTCCACTCACCACGACTTGTTGTGTAGCAGCAATGTTCACCTCGGATTCAGTTGTGTGGGCGTTAACCAGCGTAC